GTGAAGAGAGAGGGCATCCTTGTCTAGTGCCAGATTTCAAAGGGAATGCTTCCAGTTTTTGCCCATTCAGTATGATATTGGCAGTGGGTTTGTCATAAGTAGCTTTTATTATTTTGTGATAGGTTCCATTGATACCTAGTTTACTGAGAGTTTTTAGCATAAACAGTTGTTGGATTTTGTCAAAGGCCTTCTCTGCATCTATTGAGGTAATCATGTGGTTTTTGTCTTTGGTTCTATTTATGTAGTGGATTAGTTTATGGACTTTCATAAAAATACTTTTTAGTTAGATTCCGAAGGTCATGATAACAGATCATGCAGCAGACACAGTTATCTGAAGTACCTTTTGAACATTTCATTCTATTATACAGCAGGCAATGTCTTAAATATTTGACAAGAAAAACTGATGAGTTTTCAGTTTCAACGCATCTGTTCAGTTGCCATGTCTGAATACTGTCATCATCTTGTTAAGAAATCCTGGAGTATGGTTCGTCACAAAGTTAGATGACACTTCTGTCAGGTCATTGCAAGTAGATTGGCTTTTCATTCCTTGTGGTTTGTCATCTTTCTTAGTTAAGGACTACACCTGAAAGCAAAGCTTCTTTATTTCTTTGGAGCTCATAAATATAAGTTATTTGGGATTTTACCTCAGATCAGCTTAGCTTAAGTCTGCCATCCAGACTTCACCAAGTGCCACTTTGCCAGCAGAGCAATAAATGTATTCATGGAGCCCTTTTGTGTTCGAGACACTCAGTCTGGATCCACAGTGGGGTCTTTGTTAAGTGCTCTTTACATTTGTGTTGCTCCCAGCTGGTGTAATGGTCCATATCTCATTTCAGGAGCAAATGGCTGCCCAAATCCACAACAAATTAACATTCAAGATACTTGGTGCAAGAGATCTGTCCTTCAACTACAGTTCTGGGGGTTGTAAGACAAGCATTTGGCTCCTGTGGTGAACTGCATGTAGAGAAGGTCAAGGCTTGATCCAGTGGTCCTATCTCATAGTTCTGCCCATTGTTTATCTTTTGAAAGATAGTTAATTGTCTTTTCATGCTGGGCAAATGCAACACAAAAATGTGACTTCTCTCCTCTGTCTTTCATGGGTCTGATAATTGCCTTATCTGCTTTGTGTTGTTGTTGTTTTGCTGGAAGCAAGTTCAGTCCAAAAGTTAATTAGAGTTCGTATGGTTTTGCAAATAGTGATTTATTTTAGAAACTATAAAGATTTCTTAAGTCAGAGCTCACCAACAAAACTGAGTCAAAAATATTTTTTCAGTTAATACCAACACAAATGACAAATCCATCTATCATAGAAATTTTCTTGTGAAAGCTTAATGCTCATCAAGTGTTCTGTGGATCAAATATTTACTTTTGTATGTAGGCTTTATGCAAATTTTATTTAGGTGTCTAAAAAATTAACTGGTGTGTACATTATAGTAACACTCTCATAACCTAACAATGTTTCTCATAGGGAATGATAGTGTATATATATAAAATCATGTCTTACAGATGCCTCTTTCTTCAAAACTATTATAATGCATTCAGTTAAAGCTTTTTTACTTAATCAAAGGTATTATTATTCAAAAATGTATGATGAACCTAGATATTTGCTATGAAATATATAGTTTGGATTGTGGAGGAAACTAACTTATCCAGGAAGGTTGGACAATAGTAGTTTTAAATAATATGATCCTGTAATTTGTTAAGATTTATTCTTAACTATAGAAATTTGCCTGATTTTTAGTCATTATCTGTGCCATATAATATTATTAATAGACAAACCATAGACTGAAGGCTTGTCTTGTATATTTCTGAAACATGCATCTGACAGAGGACTTGAATCCAAAATATACAAAGAACTCCTACGACTCGACAACAAACAAAACAAACTATTGTAATTTTAAATGAGCAAAAAGTCTTAATCTGTAATAATTGTCTGCTTCACTGATTCAATTAGTTTCAATTTAGTGGAGTTAATAGCTTTTTTTTTTTTTTTTTTTTTTTTTTAATAAAGGAAGAGTTGATTTAAACAAACTTGACTAAGCACCACCTGGTGACAGAGATTTTGAATTGCAGCTTGAGTTTTTGTGGGATATTTTTTAAAGGTAAAGTCTGAAGAGTGAATCTGCAGAAATAGACTTGAAAACAGTAAGAAATTCTAATAAAATGACAGCCAAATTAAATTTTACCATAGTAAAACTGAAACAAAAGAAAAAAATCAATTCATCTATACATTGAACTACCTATAGATCTCCCCAAGATAATGATATAATATCCAGACAAATACTTATCTGGTAGAATTTTAATTGGATATTAATACAACACATATAAATTGGCTATTTGTGTGCCAGGCATTCTACATGTACTATTGCATTTAATCTTCCTAAGAACTCTGTACAGGCCCACTCCATAGACTATTTCCGTGGTTAAAATTTCTCAGCAGAAAATATCTTCATTTTTAATAACCAAACCTCATAGAACATATTTATCTCTCAATACAACATTTTTGTGAGTCCCCTCCCAAAGGTAAAAAGGATTGAGAAAACTATGGAAAAACAAGTAACGTCGGTAAGAAAAATGTTTAATGAAGACAAAGTATTAACACAAAGAAAATTTTTGTTAATAACTATATTAGTTATGACCAGAAAGTAACATTTTAAGCAGCTATAACATAACAGTATTTTTTGTTGTATATATACCTATGAATTTTACTGTGCTTCGACTGGGTTTTAAGAAGTTGCTGCAGATCTTATAATGCACTGTAATATTTTTCCCAATTAAAAAGAATTAAAAGCAGGCTCCCTGTTAGTGTTTTCAGGAGGAACCTCTATGTTAAGCAGGAGATGCCTGTGTAGTATTATGTTATACCACCTTACAAATGAGACCCAAAGAGATTAAATCATTTGCCCAAGCTCCCAAGGCTCGGAAGTGGAGGCGTGGCAGCCTGACTCTGAAGCCTGTGTTCTAACCACCGCGAGACATTGCTTCCACTGTAGCTTTACTTGTATCGCACAAATGGTACGTGCCATAGGTCAGCGCTTCTCAAAGTTCTTGGTCAATAGGTTATTAGAGTGAATGTTACCAGTTTAATATTACCTAAAAGGGAGTTCTGTGGCTAATTGGATTTGGGAAATACTGTGTTTAATGAAATAAAGCATGTTACTTTATTTTTCACAGCCAAATGTGCACTATAGTTTCCTAAGGTTGGTAGGTGAAGCAGTTAGCATTTCCCACACTTATTTGTTTGAGGTTTATATAGATTAAGAATGCAGTCCGGACACACAGGTTCGTGCCTGTAATCCCAGCACTTTGGGAGGCTGAGGCAGGAAGATCGCTTGAACCCAGGAGTTTCAGACCAGCCTGGACAACATGATGAGGCTCGTGTCCCTACAAAACAATACAAAGCCTGGCTGAGCATAGTGTGTATGCCTGTAGTTGCAGCTACTTGAATTGCTGAGGCAGGAGAATCTCTCGAGCCCAGGAGGTCAAGGCTTCAGTGAGCTATGATCACATTACTACACTCCAGCCTGCGCATTGGAGTGAGACCTGCCTCAAAAACAAAACCAAACAACAAAAAAAGGTGTCTGACAGCATAAAACGTAAAACATACACATGCTATTCATGTGTGAGTGTGCATATGTCTGTAAATATGCCTTATAAAATACCACCAATGTGCATTTATTTGTCCCACAAAACAAGAAGTCTGGGGCAGGGGAGCCCAGGGTCAGGCTTCTTTCTCTTTCCCCCTCTGTTCTACTATCCACAGCAAGCTGGCATTCACTGCCATGCTTGTCACATCATACATACCAGATTTTGCTGCACTTCCAGGCTTTACAGCTGTATTCCACAAAGGAAAAAAAAAAAAACAACAACAACAAAGCAGCAGCACCAACATTCTCACTTATAATTCACTGACCAAGGCAGTGTCATAAAGGCTACCCTATAGGACCACCCCCAGCTGCAGGGAGCCTGCGAATTGGCTTTTTACTTTTAAACCTCTGTATCAGTGAGTTATGACATAGATAAATTGTGAAGGTTGATTCTCACTCACATGTCATGTCATCAGCTGCAGGTTGGCTGCAGCTCAGCTCAATATGTCTTCTTTATTTGGGGGCTGAGACTGAAGGATCGGCCCCTCTCAGGCCATGCCCTTCCCATGGTGGAGGCAAAAAGGAGGTGGCAGAGCCATGTCATTGCTGTTGAAGACATAGTTAAAGTGGCATTTGTTACTTTCCCCGACATTCCATTAACCAAAAGAAGTCATGTGCCAATGCTGATGTCAATAGGGCAAGGAAGTACAATCCTCTTATTAAAGGATCACAGATACCCTTTAAAAGATCATAGCAGTATAATCTTTTCTAATATAATAAAAGCAGGCAAGTGAGAATAGGCAACATTTGTTTTCAGAGCATTTCACAGGACAAGTATTCACATCCTTTGGGAATTGTGGTTTTAAGTCACATCATGTCTTTTTTTTTTTCTTTTAAGACAGGGTCTTACTCTGTCACCCAGGCTGGAGTGCAGTGGCATTATCTCAGCTCACTGTAGCCTCAACCTCCTGGGCTCAGGTGATCCTCTCATCTCAGCCTCCCTGAATAGCTAGGCCTTCAGGCACACACCACCGTACCCAGCTAGTAGAGTTTTTGGATTCTTTGTAGAGATGAGATTTCACCATGTTGCCCAGACTGGTCTCAAACTCCTGGGTTCAAGTGATCTGCCCACCTCACCCTTCCAAAGTGCTGGGATTACAGGGGTGAAGCACTGCACTTGGCTGTTGTCCTTTTGATAAAATAACTATCAATAGAAAAATCCTGGTATAAAACATTTTTTAATATGTGAATTATGTCAGAGAATGTTATTAGACGTGTTGTTTCTTGTCATACATTAAATTCCACCTTTAAATCAGGTAACATACATGAGCAAAGTTTATTTTTAAGCCAGAAGAATTTCAGAAAATACAGTCATGTCTAATTATTAAAATTATTTTTTTTCTTCTGAATCAGGTGCTATCCTACCATGCAACATGTTCGAAAGCTGAAGTTGACAAGTTTAAGGTAAGGAAGGAAATGATTGCCTTGTTAGTGCCTACTGTTACACTTCACCTGGCCTCCTGAGCTCTGTCACTTGCCTCTAGAGAATTAATCCCGCCCACTGGGAGCTGGGGGACTAGCACTGGGCAAAGGTGTATTTGTATATTTCTCTTTTAGAGGGGAAGAGGGACTTGTATATAACTGAGTTGTCATTTTATAATAATTTACATAATTCAGTATTTCTTCCCATTTGTTAAGTAAGCAAGATATCAGGGAAAAAAAATCTGTAATATGGTGAGAATCAAGACACCTGGTTTTGGCATTGGTTTTACCTCTAACTTGCTGTTCAGTTAAAATCTTAGGGCTGTATCTCCATCTGTAAACATATGTGGAAGAGATTGAGATAATAATAGCTAACACTTAAGTGTTTGCTGTGTGCCAGACACAATACCAGGCATCTTACCTGCATTCATTCATTTAATCCTCCCAATCCTCTGAAGAACGTACCGTTTTACAGATGAATAAATTGAAGCATGGGGATGCTGATGCCAGGCCAAGGTCCAACAGTTGTAAGAGGCATAGCAATCTGGTCCCAGAGCCAGAGCTTTTAACCACCATGCTTCACTACCACACAGACTGACCCCCTTTCAACTCCAACATCTGCTGAGTCTGTGAATGAGTTTTAGATACTCCTTCTCACCTTAGTTTCCACCATTTCCTTAAATGCAATTCAGAATCCTTGTTTGTCTCCATGAGCTTCTACCACACAGTTTTTAGCAATGACTAAAACATGGGAGTATAGGAAAATTTTATTTTCCTTTTGAAAGTTTTGGTGCCTGCCATTCTATATTTATGTGGCAGTTCAGAAAGTTTTTGGGGAAAGCTACCACAATCATGAGAAAGATCATGTTTTTTATTGCGATATTAGAATCTAATATCACTTTGGTGATGGCTACTTTTCTACAAGTCCATTTACACATATACAGTGCAGAGACCTTTGGGCCTGAGGATTGAATCAGATTACTAGAACTGAGCACATGAATGATGAAAGGAAGCAAAGGAAGATGTTTGTTCCAAACACTGAGAATAGTGATAGAAGAATTCCTCACAAGGGCCAAAAGCAGCACATCTACTGCGAGCATAGGAACTGCTTGGGCTTCATCCAATGATATGGTCTATTATTGACTTAGAGAGATGCTGAGGGGAAAGACCTGCAATTGTAACCCTGATAAAAAGGGAGAGACAGGGTGCCAGCAAGAGATGACAGCTGAGAGCAGAGGGAGGAGACAGAACAACTAAAACCACAGCAGTGAAGGCCCATTTGTTACAGAGGCAAACATCCTGCAACTTGAACTCAAACTCCATCAGGGCAGCACTATTTGTATGCTTCATTCACTGCTGTATCTCTCCTGCCTTTTATGGTCCTTGGGACATAGTAACACTCAATAAATACTTGTTGAATGGATGAATGAATGGATGGATAAGTGAATGAATAAATAAATCCAAAGAGCACCAAAGGTTCCAGAACTTGAAGCAATTAATCATTAAGAAAATTTTAAAACTCTGATACTATATAATTATTTTTTATATTTCATATAAATTTTACTTAATGTATATAAATTTCATAAATATTTGCATCAAAAATATTTAAGGCTTTTTTATTTTAGCCAATAAAGTTCAGTTATATGGAAATCCTATGTATGAAAATATCCAGTTCCTGCTAAAATGCTAATTTAATGTTTATATTATGTTTTTGCTATTACTACAATTATCATCATTGCTAAAAGAGGGAAGGGGTAGGCAAGAAGAAAGACAGCAAAGATGACAACATGAGCTTTAACTCATGTGACTGAATGTGACTGCAAGAGCTGCCCAGAGGTATAGCAGACCAAAATCCATAGCTGTTTAGTTTCTAAAGGCACCAACATTCAGGCTTCATTTTTTACTTAAAACATTGTCCTAGAATTTGGTATGCATTTATATTTTTAGCTCACAAATATACTAAAATATGGAGTATTTAAATTTGAGAACAAAGGGTTATTTCATCTTAAAATTATCAAGATTAGAATTTAAGACTTCGATCCAAGATGGCTGTTTAGGAACAGCTCAGGATTGCAGCCCCCAGTGAAAGTGCAGAGGGTGAGTGGACGCCACATTTTTATTGCCCACAGACTAGGAAATTCCCAGGCGGAGGAGCTCCACAGGTCACCAGCGCGGCTGTTTTGGCCAGCGCGGCTGTGTCAGCTGGCGCCGCTGCTTTGCCCCGCACAGCTGCTTTGTTGACGCCCTGGAGCAGCGGTTCTCCATACAAAATACACCGGTCTGGGTGCCCTTTTGGCTGGTGATTGGAGCCACGGGAAGTTGCCCATTCGTCTGTTTAAAAAGGGGACTGAGCAGAGAACCAGGACAGTAGATCCCAGGGCAAAAAAAAAAAAAAGCACCACAAATCTCAGTGCCGCTGTTTAAGCCAGCGCAGTGAGTGGCCGCAGGGGAAAGCAAACAGACCCCGGCGCCTCTTCAACAGGCAACTGGAACACCAACTTAAAAAAGGCTCTGAGGCAGGGAGCCAGGCGCTCGGCTGGTCTCACCCCCACAAAAGAACAGCAACCAGTAACTCTGGATTGAGAGTTTCACAGCAAGCGCAGCTGAACCCGGGACGGTCCAGCTCTGTGGGGTAGGGGTGTCCGCCATTACAGAGGCAGCCCTCCACTAGGGAGGTAGTCAGCCAATGCTGAGGCAGCCCGCCGTTGCCAAGGCAACCTGCCATTGCTGAGGCAGCCCACCGTTGCCAAGGCAACCCGCCACTGCAGAGAGACTCCGCTTCAACAGAGGCAGGCCACCATCGCCAAAGCAGTTCTAACTACACCCATATAAACAGGACTGCAGGGAAGTTCACTCAGCAGCTGGGGGGAGCCCACAGCAGCTCAGCAAAGCCTCTACAGGCAGACAGTGACTAGGCTGCCTCCTTGCTGGGCAGGGCAGCTCTGAAGAAAAAAAAAAGAAGAGAGAAGGCAGCAGCATAACCGACACTCATAAAGCCCTAAATCCCTGGGACAGATCACCTGGGAACAAAAAGTAGTTTATGAGTTCTGCTGCAGCAGACCTAAACGTACCTGCCCAGCAGCTCTGAATGGACAACAGAGCTCACAGCTCACCATTTGAGCTCCTATAAAGAAGAGACCGTCTCCTCAAGCAGCTCCCCGACCTCTATATATCCAAAGAGCCACCTCATAAAGGAGAGATCAGATTGACACTAGGCGGGTATCCTTCTGGGACAAAGATAGCAGAAGAAGAAACCTGGTAACAACCCTTACTGTTCAGCAGCTGCTGCAGGTGAACCCCAGGCAAGCAGGGCCTGGAGTGAACCTCAGCAGACCTACAGCAGAGGGGCCAGACTGTCAGAAGGAAAACCAAGAAACAGAAATAACCTCATCATCAACAAACAGAACGTCAATCTGAAAGATTTTAGACCCAATCTGAAAGCCAGCAACCACAAAGTCGACAGATGGATAAATCGTTAAAGATGGGAAGAAACCAGCGCAAAAAGGATGAAAACACCCGAAACCAGAACACCTCTCCTCCTACAAGGGATCACAACTCCTCACCAGCAAGGGAACAAGGTTGGAGGGAGAACGAGTGTGATGAAATGACAGAATCAGACTTCAGAAGGTGGGTAGTAAGAAACTTCTGTGAACTTAAAGAACATGTTCTAACCAAATGCAAAGAAACTAAGAACCTTGAAAAAAGATTTGACGAAATGCTAATGAGAATGGACAAAACAGAAAGGAATATAAGTGAATTGATGGAGCTGAAAAATGCAACACGAGAACTTCGCGAAGCATGCACAAGTATCAACAGCCGAATTGACCAAGCAGAAGAAAGGATATCAGAGGTCGAAGATCAACTCAATGAAATAAAATGGGAAGGCAAGACTGGAGAAAAAAGGGTAAAAAGGAATGAACAAAGTCTCCAAGAAATGTGGGACTATGTGAAAAGACCTAATCTACGTTTGATAGGCGTACCTGAATGCGACGAAGAGAAGGAATCCAAGCTGGAAAATACACTTCAGGATATTATCCAGGAAAACTTCCCCAACCTAGCAAGGCAGGCAAACATTCAAGTTCAGGAAATATAGAGAACACCACAAAGATATTTGTCAAGAAGAGCAACCCCAAGGCACATAATCGTCAGATTCACCAGGGTCGAAATGAAGGAGAAAATATTAAGGGCAGCCAGAGAGAAAGGTCGGGTTACCCACAAAGGGAAGCCCATCAGACTCACAGCAGATCTCTCAGCAGAAACCCTAGAAGCCAGAAGAGAGTGGGGGCCAATATTCAACATCCTTAAAGAAAAGAACTTTCAACCCAGAATCTCCTATCCAGCCAAACTAACCTTCATAAGTGAAGGAAAAATAAAATCCTTTGGGAACATGCAAGTACTCAGAGATTTCGTCACCACCAGGCCAGCTCTACAAGAGCTCCTGAAATAGGCTCTACACATATAAAGGAACAACAAGTACCAGCTCAACTAAAGGGCAAAACACCCAGCTAGCACCAAAATGGCAGTATCAAATTCACACATAACAATATTAACCCTAAATGTAAATGGACTAAATGCCCCAATCAAAAGACACAGACTGGCAAGTTGGATAAAAAGCCAAAACCCATTGGTGTGCTGTATCCAGGAAACCCATCTCACATGCAAGGATACACAAAGGCTCAAAGATTTACCAAGCAAATGGAGAGCAAAAAAAAAGCAGGAGTTGCAATTCTCATCTCTGATAAATTAGACTTTAAAGCAACAAAGATCATAAGAGACAAAGAAGGACATTACATAATGGTAAAATGATCAATGCAACAAGAAGAGCTAGCAATCCTAAATATATATGCACCCAATACAGGAGCACCCAGATACATAAGGCAAGTTCTTAATGACTTACAAAGAGACTTAGACTTCCACACAATAATAGTGAGAGACTTTAACACCCCATTGTCAACATTAGACAGATCAACCAGACAGAAAAT